CTGTTTAGCAACCCCCGCACCGACCCCTCTGGCATCCTCTTGCTCTACAAAACTGTCTCCTGAAGCAGACTTCATGTTATTCGCAAGAGTTAAGTCTAATGGAAACAATGCAGGAGCATGAGCTGAAGATGCAGGGGTGAGGGCTGACTCCCCGCGGGAAGCTTCTCCGCTTTCATCTTCCGTGATTTTACTGCTCTCTACCTTGTGTTCTGAAGCATTTTCTTCCTTTATCGATGCACAAGAAAACATGTTTTCCTTTTGAGAACTGTTCAAAATCTCATCTTTGTCCTCTGTCTCTGAACATACATCAACCAGGCTGGTGCCAGCTGTGGACGGAGAACTCTGTGGACAATGACTGGCCAGTCCCTCCTTCCTATCCAGGGACTTTTTAACTTTTATGTATTTTCTGGACAATTTAGACGACAGACTCCCCAGAGACACAATTTCCACATTCTGATTTTGCAGCTCATTTTGAATTCTGCACACCGAAGCATCTTTAAAGTAGGGACTGGTCTGCTGTTGTGTGCCCAGTTTTGAACCACATTGGACGAGGGTTAAACTTCTCTTTGGTGGTGACAACTTCTGAGGTGTTATGTCTTCTAAAGCATTACTGGGTAAATTTGACCTGGGCACCGTTGGATTTGTTAAACCAGCCTGCACAGGCTCAACCTGAACGACATCACCATTGTTAGCACAGGACTCATCGAGATGCCGAATTAGGTCGTACCTAGGCACCATTTTATGACAAATTGAACACGCAAGTTTAGCAGGTGGCGCATTGTTAAAATACGAAATAATCGAATGAGATTGGCTCTTTGTAGTTTTGCTGGTAGATAAGCTTCTACGGGGCCTTTTTTGGTCAGGTGATTTCCCTTGTGACATCACGACTATCAGAAAAAGTGGGTGACCCAAGAAGGAAATTCGGGTAATCTCAGGTGAAGGACCGCAATGTTTTATTTTTACTCCCTTGGCTTGAATTAAGAAAAGGTGCCTGCTATCACCTCATCAGTTAAGACAGCGGCCACCCCGGGTGAATGACCCCAAAAGTTTACTTTTACTTTCGCCTTGAACTAATGCAAAGTGACATAACATTTGGTGTCGGTATTCGTTTAATTTCTTCTCCCTACAAAATAAAATACATGAGTTAAAAACATTTTTACGCATCCACGGGGTTGGAAGACAACTGAAACGTGGAATGGCAACTTCTGAAATGAGAACCCTCGGCCTGACAACAGATCGGGGCTGTCCTGCAGCCCCGCGCAGGCTCTGTGTCCCTTGCCTCACAAGGACCGAGCTGCACTTACTTCCAGGCCCTTTCTAGAACCATTCTTCTTAAAAAGAGGATGCTCGCTCTCTCAGAATCGCCCTGAAGTCACTGCAGCGGAACCCGCCCAGCGGCGCGCGAAGGGGCACAGCGGCGGCTGCCCGCGCTGCAGGCATTCCCAGCCGATCCCCGAGTCTGCACAGGCTCGGCAAGTGGAGGCCCGAGCGATCGAGCTGAGGGAGGGCGGATTGAGAACTGGAGGGTCGAAGATGGTTCCCTGCTAGATGAAATATGATGTATGGTGTGGGTGGGTGGGTGGGTGTGGGTGTGAGTGGGTGGTGTGTGTGTTAGCAATAGCAAAATGAGTGAAAGCAGCCATGTGACCGCACAGCCTCAAGTGCTTCACAAGCCATACACTAGAGTAGCACAACGCTAACCTTTTGTGGGTGGTAAATTAGGGATGCTACTGTAATTCCTTTTTGTTTTGTTTTCCAAGACAGGGTTTCTCTGTGTAGCCCTGACTGTCTTGGAACTCACTCTGTAGACCAGGCTGGCCTTGAACTCAGAGGTCATCCTGCCTCTGCCTCCCAAGGGCTGGGATTAAAGGTGTGTGCCACTAGGCCTAGCTTTCCTAACACAATTGAAAATTAATTCAAAGAAATACACCTAAGATATGCTGATCATAATAAACATATTACAATTAATTTAACTTGACAGGAAAAAAGGAGCAGAGGAAAAAAAAAAGAGAATAAGTACAAAACCAAATAAATTTAGGTTAATAATGGCATTAAATGGTCTTTGATTCATATAATTAAAAGGTACAACCAATCAGATTAGCCTTAAAATGTAGTTCCCAACTATGTGTCACATACAAGAGCCCAGTATAGCAAATCATTTCAGTTTTTAAAATCCATAAAAATACTGATAGGTAAATGGCACTGGTGGCAGTGCTGGTTACTGCATGGAAAGGTCACGGTCATGACAGAACCCAGTGCTAATTTTAGAGCTTTATTAGGAGGGAAAGTCGGGGGGGGGGGGGGGGGGGGGGGAGAAAGAGAGGTGAGCCAGGCCTGGGGGAGAGAGCAGAGCAGGATACAGAGAAAGAGCAGAGAGGAAACAGAGAGGGTGGGGGTCTGAGTCCAGCTTTTTAAGGGGTACATAGTCGCCAGCATCTGTTGTTGAAGCAAGACACAAGACCCTGAGCTGCGCATGTGTGGGAGTGAGGGCAGGATCCTAACAAATACAAACTCCTAGGATCATATAATACTCAAAAATTACTACTAAAACATCTTAAGGTGTAAGGAAACCATTACTCAAAAGTATTTATTCATAGGTAAAGAATATAGCAATAAATTCTATTTTGAATAAAACTTTGGGGAAAGTTTCTAACTGTGGTGATATACACCTTTAATCCTGGCACTTGAGAGGCAGAGGCAGGTAGAGCTGAGCGGGAGGCCAGCCTGGTCTACATTGGCTTCCTAGGCTTCCTGGGGCTGCATAGTTTGACCCTGTCTCAAAAATAAACATCAACTTGGGGAAAAATTTTAATGTCATATTAGTAGTGTCATAGTCAGAGAACGTCCCCCAGACTCGTGTTAAAATTTAATGGCCAACAGAGAAATGTTTCAGCAGGTAAGGCCTGACAACCTGAATTAGAGGACCAGGATCCATACAGGAGAGAATCACCCTTAGAGATTGGATACAATTAGCACCATTGTAAAAAGTACTTGGGAATTGGGACTAGAGATGGCTCCGAGGTTAACAGCACTTGGACCTGGGTTCAGTTCCAAGCAACTGCAACTCCTGTTCCAGGGAGCCAATGCACATGCAACCATGCAGGTACTCACACATATATACCAAACCTTGGGGGAGGAGTCCTCCCCACCTAACTACCCAAGGACGAAGCAACAAAATGCCACTTTGATGCTGACATCTCTCTCACCAGACACCACTCTGTCTGGACTGTTAAGAATTATTTATAAATTCGGCAGGGTAGTGGTGGCACATGCCTTTAACTCCAGCACTCAGGAGGCACAGGCAGACCGATCTCTGTGAGTTCAAGGCCAGCCTGGTCTATAGAGCAAGATCCAGGACAGGCACAAAAAAAAAAAAAAAAAAATCTATAAATTACCCAAATTGAGTTTCTTGTAGCAGCACCAGTAGACTCAGTGTTTAATCTAACCCCATACAACTTAGTTCTCTCTGATTGCAGTCATGTTCAGCATTAATAACTCTAAATGGGATCTTTTTCACCACTGGGTTTAGTCTCTGCAGTTGAGAAACTAGAGCCTTTCCAGTCATTCTTAATCTGAGTCTCTTTCTCTGCCCAGCTGGATTAAGGCTGGTTATTTTTCCATCCAGTCATGGCATTATCAGTGAAAGGCATTTTTTTGAGTGGGGAGGTCTGAGCAATGGACACTGGTGATCCCAGTGTTGTATTTTAAAAACGGCGGGAAGGAGTCACACCATACAACAGGGTCCATGTAGGTTTATTGAGGGGAAGGGGAGAGAGAAGGAGCAGAGAAGGGGGCAGGGACCGGTCCCTGGGGACGAGGAAGGGAAAGAGAAAGGAGAGACAAGAGGTTGTACAAGTCCGCCTTTTGTCAGGAAATGTATCGAATGCACACAAGAGGTACTCTTATTGGCTGCAGCTGAGGTACATCCTGTCAGGACCCTAAGGGCAGGTCAGTACAGAGGCCTAAATGCTAACACCCAGGGGACTCTGAAGACGGCCTGCCAGTCCATATTCTAAGCTGTACTGAGTCTGTTGCTTCTGGACTCCCTTCTAGATCATATATCCGTCTTCTCTGTGTCTTACTATGAACCGTAGCGGTAACCCTTTGTCCAGGTATTAAGATTTTCCTAAGGTGAAAGATGTAAGCCACATACATGAAAGCGTTGTTTTGTGAAACAGCATTCATAACAGCAGGAGAAGAAAACCAAGAACTCAAAGGACTATGTCCACAGACAGCTGCTTGTGAGGAATGTGGCTGGCTCTGGGTCTGTCTCATAGCAGGCAACATGGCACATCAGTGGAATCAGCAGGACAGCACCAATGCAGGAAGGGGATGGGGAAGCTCAGACCCCTTTCACACCCAGAGAAACCCAGACGGTCTATTTGGTTTTTGTTGTTTTAGGGGCTAGTGTGATCTAACCTGACCTCCAACTCACTTTTCAGCTAACAAAATTCTTGAATTTCTGATCCTCCAGCCTCCATCTCCTGAGTGGCTCTGATTATGGGTGTGTGCCACCCTGAGTCTCAGAGAGGCTTCCCAGTTAAATTTGCCACAGCACTGTGAAGTCTCAAGTAGTTCCCATCAAGCAAAGATGGGTCTCTGCTGGTTATTTACTTCATCTTTTTTGTCAACTTAATGCAGACAGGATCATCTGAGAAAAAAACCAAAAACCACTTAAAAGAAAATGGCTTTAAAGACTGGCCTGTAGGGAAGTCTGTGGGACATTTCCTGGTTAATGATTGATGGAGGACCCAGCCAACGATGGGTGGTGCAATCCCTGAGTAAGTGGTTCTGGGTTGTATAAGAAAGCAAGCTGGGAAAGGCACGGAGAACAAGACAGTAAGCAGTGTTTCTCCAAGGTCTCTGCTTCAGTTCCTGCCTTCAAGTTCCTGTCTTGAGTTCCTCAGTGATGGACTGTAAGCCGTAAGATGAAATAGCCCTTTCCTCCACAAGTTGCTCTGGTCATGGTCTTTATCAAGGCAACCAGAAGCAAACTAAGATAGATCTCAAGAATTTATTATAAAATAGAACAATGACAGAAACTTACAGATTTATACATTAATTCAAATATATTACAGCTTTAATTTATGAACAGAAATGTCCTGCTTTTTCTTCTTTATCTTTCCTGGTTGTTTTGCATCATTAATCTGCATTTTTACTTGATCTTGCAATTTAGAAAAGAAAGCCTGAGATGACTTTAAGGGCTTATCTTTCCGTTCATCCTGCAGTGAAAACAAAACAGAGATGTTACAAAACATGCTTATGTGAGAAAACCCAAAGCCTACAGTACATTATGATCACAACAATGAACAGATGCACAAACATGAAAATCCACTGCAAAAACCCAACCATTATCACAACACCCTGTATCTCAGGGAAAAGAGAGGAGAAGGAAACTTGCTGCCAGGCCTGTCGCTGCAAAGGTCTACAGCAAGTCTGGAGGGTGCTGAGGCCACCGCTGAGCAGGGTGCTCCAGAACCCAGAGGCAGCTCTGACACCCTAGTTGAGACAATCCAATGCGTGCCATGAAGTCCCCCAACAGGCGCCTCTCCCTACTTACCTTTAACAAGGACACTTTGCCTGTTTTGGTCAACTGTTTCAGCTTCTCTGCAGCTGCCGCTCTGGTGGACTTCCCAGGCTGATCTGGGTTCCTCTTTTCAAGCAATTTTCTCCGCTTCTCCTTTTCCTTTATTTTCAAACGCTTCTGATACTTCTTTTTCCTGCGCTCTCGTTTCTTGTCTGTAGCTGTCTTCTCAGCAGCTGTTTTTAGATCTCCAGCTTTATTTTTCTCCTATTAAGAAGAAAAACAAAACAAAACAAACCCACCAAATAAACAAAAACCCTAAACAACCACCGTACTGGTTATCCCAGTCTAACATCTGCCGAGGGATGAGAAGATGAGCATGCACACAGTGGCCAATGGCTGGAGGATGCCTGTGGCACAGTGTGCGAGGATGCAGAGCAAGCCCTGTTTGGATCCAAGGAGCTCTGGTAACTTTACAGCCTATACTTTGTTCTTTGCCAGAACTAACTCCGAGGGAGTTCAGCCCCAAATGAACTCACGAAGGAAACAGAGAACTAGGCACTCAGGCTCACAGTACTGGCCAACAGGTACTCTCCAACACGGGTCACAGGACATGTCTGACTCAGCCTTGACTCTAAGCTGTGAATGGCAGCCCCTGGGTTTGGATGGGGGGGAGGGGTCCTGGAGATCACTGAAGAGAGGAAGCAGGGAACCTTGTCTCCAGAGAAGAGTGACATCCTCATTTCTCCTGGGCTATCAGCGCATGGTGCCAGGTTATCACTGGCACAAGATGGCAGAAGTTCTGACAGAAGTGCTGGCTGTACATGTAACAAAGCAGGTGAGACAGAAAGACCCGGATGCCACTCCAATGGAGAACACGGGCCTGCCAGAGCCAGTTTCTGTATGGCATGAATTTCCATGTTCAGGGGTCAGAGGATGCCAGCACCTGGTATAACCAATGTGTTCCAGTGTCCAAGTGGTCTACTGGAGTCTAGACTTCAATTCTGATAAGCACTACACTGCACTTTATGATTATTATGGACAAAATCAGTGTGGAGATGGGCAAACACTAAAGTATTACAGGATTTTCACAGGACTGAAACAGGTACTTGAAAACATTTGTAATAATCCTCATATCTGTCTGAATACACAAGAGTTTTTTTTAAGTACACTCTATAACTAATCATTCCTCTCACTAGGTAGGCATCCATAGTCACAGAGGATCAATTCTAGGACCCTGCACACACCCCAAGTTCCCACATGCTCAATCTTGTATATAAAATGAACTATGTATATCACCTACATCCATGCTTCCATACTCTTCAAATTGTGCATGGATCCCATGAAGCCCTGGGACAATGAAAACACTACACACACACAGCTGTTGTAAAGTCTGCACATGTTCAATACAGATTCAGTTTTCTTGACTGATTAGTTTCAATCTGCAGTTGGGTACAATGACCTTACTTGCAGTTACTAAACATTTCCACCTAGCTTCTTACCTTGATTTCCTCTGGGGCCAGCAGGGCTGCATCACTGACACTCACTGGGGCTACTTCCTCCATGGTTATGGCTGGCAGATTCGATACAACTTTAATTTCAGGAACAGGCTAGAAAAGAGATAAGGCATTTAGCGGAGAGAAGGAAACGGAGCAAACATCATCCAAGAAGTTCTTTATGGAGTTGCCTTCCTCTGCATATATGTTATGGTTGTTGGCTTGGTGTTTTGGGGGGACTCCTGACAGTGGGAGTGGGGTGTCTCTGACTTTCGCCTGCTCTTAGAACCCTTTTCCTCCTACTGGGTTACCTCGCCCAGCCTTGATGTATTTGTAAAAACCCACACACACTGAAAACCAAACCAAACCATTACTGTGCTGACTGGATGACAGTCCTGACAACAGGCAGCATCAGACCATTCCAATAGCATTTACAGCTCCAGAGGTCTACGTTTCTGATGCAGTAAGATACTGCTCCATGTCACCTATGGGGGCATTCCCATGCAATCCCATCTACTTAATAAAATATATCGACTTATTATCATCTTGCCTTTTGTTATGGAAAAATCTAAGCTCTCTGAAGAAATATATGAAAAAATGCTTATGAGAAAAATATAGATTATTTGATAAACAATCAAAAAAAACTACTGGAAACCTATCTTTATATATTAGCATGAAATGGTATAAACTGTTTGTGAAAACTAAAATAATGTACATGAGGGAATGTTAATGAACCCAATCTCGTGAGGAGCTGTATTGGTAATCACAGCGACTGTCATTTCAAGATAACAGTGTTCAAGCCACACCCAGAGGACAATGTTCCAGGGAAATGTCAAAAGAGCAAAAACACGAGAAATAGGACAGGATCCTAGAGTCTAAGCAAGAAAATATGGAATGTGAACAAAAAAATCTCTTTCAACTGGGCCACTGTTTAGATATTCATGAGAAATTCTGTGCTCCCCCACAATCAAACAGAAACAGAGAGGCAATCTTAAGACACAATACAACATGGCAGCTGGTGAACAGTTCGTGCCCACAGAGACTCGGATATAAGAAAAACATGAGAGGAACCTATAACAGCCATGGGCATTGCTGAAAAGTTAAATGCAAAACAAGAACATCTTTTAAACCGAGGCAAAAACAGAGGCCAGGGAAATGGTTTGCTAGGCTAGGTGCTTACTACAAAAGATGGAGGATCTAAATTCAAATCACCAGTCTCCATTAAAGAAGTGGGCATATCTGCACATGCCTGTTACGTCCAGCACTGGGGAAGGGGAGACAGGCAGAATCTGGAGGCTCACTGACAAATCAGTCTATCTGAAACAGTGACCTTCAGACTCAATCAATGAAGAGACCTTGTATCAAAAGGAGCAACAGAGGAAAACACCTGATGTTTTCCTTCAGCCTCTGCATGCTTCTGACATCTAGACCGGTCTTTAGTTCATAACATTTAAACACCTTCACAAGAGACACCAAAGGGCAACACATGAAAAACACTGGCAGGTGGGTGCAGCCTGTTTCATAAGTAGACGGAGTTTCAGGGAGTCACGAGATTCTCAGTCATCCTAGGAAGGACTCAGACTGGAAAGGGGGCTGAGAAGCCTGGCACTGGACAGAACACAGTAAGCAGGGCAGAGCACATGGGCCCAGTGTTAGCTCTGCCCTCCCACATTCCAAGCTTCAGTTTGCTCATGTGCAAACCAGTAAAAACACCTTAGTGTTTTGGGCAGTGAAAGTGATGTAAACAAAGGACCTAACATGACTTGCAGCAGGCATCAATCAACATGAGAGACAGACACCATCACACAATTAAACACAACTGACAGGGTCAGGAGAGGAGGAACCACTGAGGCTCAGAACTGAAGGTGACCAGGGAGGGGCCTGCTGGAGATCGGGGTGAAGCAGGACAGAAGGCAGAATTAACCCAGAAACCAAGTGAGCCTCACTTACAGAAGCCCTGCTGTAACTTCATACAAACTGAAAAGCGGGACTCCCCAGAGCTCAGAGCTATTAAGTTTACATATGCTGTTTTTTACACTGAACGGTTAATTCACATACCGGTTTGGGGATGAAGTGGAAGTTTGATAGGGCATCCAATTTTAGGAAGAGAGAATCCATCATCTTCTGAATTTCTACATGCTCTGGATTTTCTTCTTCTTCAGTTTTTTGCTAAGTGAGTAAGGTCAGTATCAGATGAAGGAGTTTAATAGTGGACCACAGATAAAACGTTATAGGCAATGAGAGTACCCTTAGTTTCTCAGAACCACAACTTTAACTATCCAGCAGCATTCCAGCTCAACGTGGTGGCACAATCCTTTAATTCCAGTACTTGAGAGGCAGAGGCAGGCAGATCTCTGTGAGCTTGGGGTCAGACAGGACTACATAGTGAGATCTTGTCTCAAACAAAAACAAAAACACCCCAGCCAGGGATGCCAGTGCTACCAGTAATTCCCAACCCTCTGGGCTGAGGCAGGAGTACTGGGAGCTCAAGACCAGTTTGGGTTACATAGTGTTACTTTGTTTTAAAAAGGAAGGAGAGAAGAAGGTTCCAAAAGGAAAATTAAAGGTATCAGCACATAATGCTGCCAATGCCTAGCAAAGACCACAAGGGGCGCACATTTTAGTACCCATTACCTCTGACATTAAGAACTAATACTTTTAAGTCCTTGGGTATTTTCCACCAAAGGTTAAGCTACCCACAGTAGGATCACTAAATTGAAGGAAAATTAACAAATTTTAGTGAGGAAGAGGAAATTTGAACCCTGGCAATTACTGGTAGCAAAGTAAAATAATGTAGCCACAATGGCAGCAAGCTTGGCAGTTCACAGAAGGTTAAAGAGCATTTCCCTCCTGACACAAACCCAAGGACACTAAAGTAGATAAACTTATGTGCGCGCGCGCGCGTGCGCGCGCGCACACACACACACACACACACACACACACACACACACACACACACACACACACACACACAGTAGGATTTACTATATCCAGAAGGTGGGAAAAGTTTCCATGCTCATCAACTGAAGAATAATCAAGAAACCATGGACATATATAAACGGAACATTACCCAACAAGAAAATAGGAACGAAGGGCTGACATATGCTGCCAACATAAAGACATAATGCAAAATGAAAGTCACACAGTGTGTGACTTTATTTATACAAAATGTCCAAAACAGGCAAATTCACAGAACTCGAGTGTAAGATAGCAGAGGGGAAGGGATAGGAAGCGGCAGATTGGTGAGCAAGGATTGGGAACTACAGAGAAAAACTACAACAGGTGCTTCTGAGTTATTCATTTACTTAGTTTTGGTTTTTCAAGACAGTCTCACTGTGTAGCACAGAACCAACTCAAAATGTGATCATCCTTCTTATGAGTCTTCTGAGCTCTAGGATTTTAGGAGTGCACCATCTTGTCTGACACTGTTTGTGTCAAAAAATGTTTTTTATGTTATATGAATGTAATCTGTTCAAGATTTATTCAGATTAATCACACTAATATGGAAACGACACCCATTAAATTCTATAGAGTCAGGTAATTTTTTATTTGTTCTTCCCTTGGCCCCCAGTGTGCACTGTGAAAGGCTAACATGGGCTTTCGTTTGCTGGCTTTTGTTCTTTATAATTAAGCCGGAGGCAGAGGCAGGGGAGGGGGTGGGGTGGGGGCACAGGAGTAAGAAGTTACTGGCTCTGTGCCTGGGTCCCAGGTCAGATGACATGTCATCAACGCTCATCCCAGTAAACCCAGGGTGAAGAAAGAAGTCTTCCCAGGATATGTACTTGTCCTGCTATTTAACTAGATTCATTTTAGAATTTAAGAAAAGAAAAACAGCCTAAAGATCAAGATCATTTCATAAAGATATAAAATACATCAATTACTTCAAATACCAATAAATATGATTTTAGAATAACAATACCGTAAAATAACTGCTGGAAAGTCAATAGCTGATTATACAAATTAAGATTGCCAATGCTCTTTACAGAGCAAGCCCCACCTCCCTTGCATTCAGGGGAACATTAGAGCCCTCTGCTCCCAGCATGTGCTGTTGCACAGGTATCTGAGAGCTGGATTAGATCAGGACTGACTGAAGATCTGCTTCTCCTCTTCTACCCTTTAGTAGTCACAGCCTGGCCTTGGAGGTCAGCTTACCTGGTTAAGTTTGATATACTCCTGCTCATAAATCTCAGCAAGGCTCAGCTTGCTCTTCTCATGGTCTAACGTTAAACGCTTCTTATATTCATACGCATCCTCTTTGGGTTTTTCTTTTCGTTCTACATCATCCCAAGCCTGAAATGCAAATATGTTCATAGACTCCAACATTGATTTCCATGCTCCGTAAGAACTATAGTAAAGAAATTAATTTTCAACTTCAAAAGTGATTATCTGGGGCGGGGACACAGCTCAGGTGGTAGAATGCTTGTCTGGCATGCATAAAGCCTTGGGTTCACCCTCAGCCCCACATAAACAGGGCATGGTAGTCTATACCCACAATACCAGTACTTGAAAGGTTGAAGCAGGAGTATCAGAAGTTCAAGGTCATCTCAGGCTATTTAGTGAGTTCCAGGGCCATCTATGGGCACGTGAAACCCTGTCTCAATAATAATAATACTAACTAAAAAAGTGTTAGATCCGATGGCCTACACCTTAATCCTGGAACTTTAGAGGCAGAGGTAGGTAGATCTGTGAGTTCTAAACAAGCCTGGTCTACACAGCCAGGGCTACACAGTGAGACCCTCTCTCAAAAGAAAAAAAAAAGTGATTTTTTTTCTTCTCAAGTAGCAAATAATAAAGCATGATGAAGAGCAAAGAGGACAGTAGCCCAAATATCCTTCTGTCTTTATTTTAAAATTAGTCTTTCTCTTACTACCCACTTTAATTTCCTTGTAACCATTTGCTAGGAATTGAACCAGAGCCTCGCATATGCCAAGCAAGAGCTCTACCAGAGCCACACCACCAGCCCTTAGATTATTTTATTTAAGAGCCATTTCTTCAGCCCACCTTACTATGTGATTAAATTAACCTAGGTTCTGTACTTCATTCCAAATTTTAAGATCCTCTCAGATCCTCTCATATCGAACCCTCTGCTCTTGCTCCTCCATTTTCGACACATTAAGGAAGCATCTCTAGTAAGATAAGTGTCATATACTTATTATATAATGCCTGTTTTTATTCTAAGCTTACAAAACCAGATCAACTCCCAAAAATTCTTTGCTGGGCCATTAACATCTAAAAAGATCCACCCTTGATTTATTAGAGCAGATACTGTGCCCAGACAGAGGAAGGGTCATGGGTTTGACCACAGCAAGCCAGATGTCCATCATAAGCCCTATTACCACCCAGTCAACAAGACTCAGAACAGACAGTACTAGCAATGGCCCTGGCCACCGTTCCCATCAGGCACCTTACTTTCTTGGGTATGAACAAAGAGCTATGTCCTACAGTGAAGGCAAAAATCCCTGTGTCCAGTGTCAGGGCTTTAAAGTCAAGAGGATCAAATAAAAATTAAGAAAGCATTATTTCTAAATATTACAGTGAGAATTAAATTAAAATCCACTCCATTCTTACTGACCTGATCTCTTATCCTCTGTTTAATGATATCTTCTAGATGGAGGGTAGTTTCCTCTGTGATTACAGGGGCTAAAAGAAACATAAAGTGTTTGTTAGAAAAATGCACGTCAGACCAGGGATTCTCAAACCCTTGTTGGACTCACAACATAAGCAGCACCTTGGAACTTACTAAAAATACAAGTTCTCAGGCCAACCCTACACCTTCTAAATCAGACAGTGGAGAATTTCTTATAGTATTCTGTTTCTAGGCCTGCACCCTGTCACAGTACACTGACTTGTTCACAATTAAACTGGAAACCCTGACTATCTAAGCAAGTTCTTTTTTGTATCCATTAAGTTCAAAGCTGGGTGTGATGGCACACGCCTTTAAGTGTAGAGGCAGGCGGATCTGAGTTAAAGGCCAACCTGGTCTCCAGAGTGAGTTTCAAGACAGAGCTATGCAGAAAATATCTATTAAAAAAGGAAGGAAGGAAGGAAGGAAGGAAGGAAGGAAGGAAGGAAGAAAGAAAGGAAGGAAGGAAAAGGTTCAAATGCAGAACTCCGTGTGTTTGTGTGTGTGTGTGTGTGTGTGTGTGTGTGTGTGTGTGTGTGTGTGTGTGCGCGCGCGTGTGTGTGCGTGTGTACTGAAACAGGGTCTCATACAGCCCAAGCTGGTCTCAAACCTGCCAAGTAACCTGAAGATGACTGAAATTCTGATCCTTCTGCCTCAACCTCTCGTGTGTTAAGATAGGCCACCATGCCTGCTTTCTGCAATACAAGGGGTCATATCCAGGAATTCAAGCATTCTAGGCAAGCATTCCACCAACTGAGCTATAGCTGTAAACTTGAATGGAGATGGTAAAGGACAACATTTCCATCCCAATGCCCTGGGACACCCTCCTTAGCAGTTAAGTGTCAAGATATTGGCAGCTGTTCTTCTGAGTGAGTACACGCATGTGCACACTTGCATATGTGTCATGTGTAGGCCAGAGGTCGAGGCTGGGACCTTGCTTGAATGCCCTCCACCTTATTTTTTGAGGCAGGGCCTCTAACCGAACCTACAGACATCAATTCCCCTATACTAACTGGTCAGTAATCTCCAGCCATTCTCCCATCTCTGCTTCCTCAGTGCTAAGATTACAGGATCTGTTTGTGTGGGTGCTGGGGAATCCCAACTTGGGTCCACATGCTTGCAGAGCAAGAACTTTACCCACTGAGCCATCTCCCCAGCCCCTGACAATTCATTTTTAATGATGGGGGAGAGGCATACACTGGAGACCTAAGGCAAAGACTGTAAACTGTTACCAACTGGTGAATTCAGTTAAATGGCATACAGATATCCACTACACTTTTCTGTATGGTTGCAAGTTGTTACAACAAAAAGCAGGAAGAAAACAGACATGACTCAGAATCTTTCTGAACTGGAACTACAGAAAAAGCCCAGAGGAAGGCAGCTGCAGAAGCACAGGAGGCACCATACCCATCCTGACAGCATGGTCAAAGTGGAGCGTCTCCTCCAGCAGGCTGTTCTCTGGCCGCTTCTGTGCCGTCACTTCCCCTTGAAGCTGCCAAGGCTTTTTTTCCAACAACTCTTTTTCCAAAGATGCGATTTTCTCATTCATCTAGGAAATAAGACAGCAGTTATTTTGAAGTGCTATACTTACTAATGTACCAAGCTCTCCAGAAGCACTAGGTCTATTTGGGGGCTCTGTTCTATTCAAATGATCTAAATCTGCACAAGCCACTAGCATGCTTAATTATTACAACATCCTAAAGTGAATCTTGTCTGGAATATTCGCTTTGATGGAGCCTGGCTCTTGGCTCTGCACCCGAATGTCTCATCTCTCCTGTAACAAACAATCTTAGAGCCACCAGCAGACACAAGGCCGGTTTTATCTTGGAGTCCTCCTGTTTTCCCACCCGCCCTTCTGCTCACTTGTTAGGTCTGCCCAGGATCCCCTGCAAGGAACAACACTTTCACTGTAGCCTTCCTCAGCTTTTGCTTTTGATGCCACACTGACAAGTCTAAAACAGATGGTAGGTCACAGTGGACATTTTGTCTAATTCTTGTTAAAAAGATGTTTCTAGAATCTGGCCAGTAACCATGACAGCAGCTTTGGACCTGATGTATTTGCAGTTCACTGAATTAAAAAAAAATGAATAAAATATGGTTAAATCTCCTTGACATCCATGGAGCTCCATCTCTGAAGTCGAGAATTATGCTTGATTACCTTATACTGAATTAAACAATTGAGGCTCATCTGATTTGGTGGCATTGCTCTCATTATTTTGGATTTGTGTACCACTACCCAAGAATGAGGCTAGACAATGTGGATATTTACACGTTTACATGAGTCAGATATAGTTAGTCCTGTCTATAAATTCTGCTTTACTTTTTATATGTGGGCATCAACTAAACATTACATTATTTATTTCTTGAAGGTTTGCATAATTCCTCGGTGAAACCAAATATGTTTGGGTGGTCGGTGGTGGGAAGACACTAGGGTAGTAACTCCTTATAAAGTTATTGCCGCCAGGCGGTGGTGGTGCACGCCTTTAATCCCAGCACTTGGGAGGCAGAGCCAGGAGGATCTTTGTGAGTTCGAGGCCAGCCTGGTCTACAGAGCGAGATCCAGGACAGGCACCAAAGCTACACAGAGAAACCCTGTCTTGAAAAAAACAAAAAAACAAAAACAAAAAACAAACAAACAAAAAAAAAGATAAAGTTATTGCTTCTAGACTTCCTATCTCTTCTAGGGACACAGTGACAATCCTGAACTTAATTCGAATTGCTTTTGAAAAACAATTCTTTAGGTAATCTTGATATTTCACTTTCTACTTGCTCTCATTTCTGTGTGATGTAATTCTAACATGAATAAATGACAGACCCAAAGGACAAGAGCCAAGTTAAAGTTACTAAAATCAAGTTGCCCATCATCTGTCAGGCATTCATTTAGGAGACATACCTCCTGCAGCAGCTGAAACAGTTAAAAGAGGGTCACAGGATGACTGAGCAGAAGCATCCCAGACAGGAAAACAAGCACAGAGAAAAAAGATTTCACAAATCTGGCTCCAAAATTAATGCTACGGGCTAGGAAATGGAGGCACAACTTATACAAATTATAAGATGCTCTTCATGTGATATCTATATACAGTATATGCAGGACATTTTTTCTTTCTTTCTTTTTTTTTTTTTTGTTTGTTTTTTCGAGACAGGGTTTCTCTGTGTAGCTTTGGTGCCTGTCCTGGATCTCGTTCTGTAGATCAGGCTGGCCTTGAACTCACAGAGATCCACCGGGCTCTGCCTCTCAAATGCTGGGATTAAAGGCATGTGCCACCACCGCCTGGCAGGTTTTTCTTTTTTTAATGAGAGAGGGTAGGCTACATAGCCCAGGCAGGTTTGAGGCTCACTATGTAGCTCACGTTGTCCTTGAACTGGATACAATACTCCTACCTCAACCTCCCAAGACTGGATTTACAGGAATGCACAATACCTAGCTCAGTATACATAATCTTTAGTGAGCAAGGCCTTTGTTTTTAAAAGAGTAGGTTAGTGAGTTTCCACCATGTTGAATATATAACAGAATTCCTAGGAATTACCTTCTCCTGTCTCTTTTCAAAAGAGGATTTGACTTCATCAGATTCTTGTTTTACAGCTAAGGGACTTGTATCTTCATCCTCATCCTCTGGCAAAGCAAAGGTCACTCTTTTCAAGCCTTCTTTATGTTGCTTACCATCCTCACTTTCTTCCAGGTCGTTATCTTCATCCCTACAACAGCAAGACGGTTATCAAAGGGAGAACACTAAAAAAACCACTATGAATACAAAAATAAATATTCTGATGATAAAGTACTTTTTAACACCTAATGCCATTCAATATTCAGAACTCCCAGGGTAGCTAAGGCTCCAAGGAACAAAAGGAATTCTTTTTTTTTTTAATATTTTTGTTTTTTTAAGATTTATTTATTTTTATGTATACCATGTTCTGTCTGCATGTATGCCTGCAGGCCAGAAGAGGGCACCAGATCTCATTATAGATGGTTGTGAGCCACCATGTGGTTGTTGGGAATTGAACTCAGGACCTCTGGAAGAGCAGCCAATGCTCTTAACCTCTGAGCCATCTCTCCAGACCCCGGAATTCTTTTTTTTTTTTTTAACTTTAATTTATTTATTATTATTTTGTATGCATGACATGTGTGGGCGATATATGTACCACAACATGCACGTGGAGGTCAGAGAAAAACTTGTGGGTTTAGCGGATCAAACTTAGGTCACCAGGCTGCATGGCAAGTACTTTCATCTACTAAGTCACCATCTCACTGGCTCAACTCCCTTAATAGACTAGGCTACCCTAAAACTCACAGAAATCCTCCTGCCTCTGCCTCCCAAGTACTGTGATCAAAGGCATGAGCCATCACACCTGGCTAAGGAATCGATCTTTAGGTGAAATGGTTGCTATGTAGAAACAGAATGGAAAGCATTAATACAGGGAATACATTATTCATCAACTCACGATACAAAACGCTTACTTAAAGATAACAATAGGAGCTGGAGAGATGGCTAAGAGCACTGGCTGCTCTTCCAGAAGACCTGGACTCAATGCCCAGCACCCACATGGAACTCACAACCATCCAGTGCCTTGGTATGTCCAGTCCCAGGGGATCTGACCCCTTCTTGTGGCCTCTGCAGGCACCAAACACACACTTGGTGAGCAGACATACATGTAAACAAAAACTCATACACATAAAATAAACTTAAAAAAAACTTTTTAATAAAATAATGGGGGGGAGGAGTGGTGGCAGTGGTACATGCCTTTAATCCCAGCACTAGGGAGGCAGAGGCAGGTGAATTTAGTTCCAGGCCAGCCCGGTCTACAGAGTGAGTTTCAGGACAACCAGGGCTACAGAGAGAAACCCTGTCTCAGAAAAACAAACAAACAAACAAACAAAAAACAACCAACCAAACATACAAACAAAAAAAATCAAACCAAACCAAACCAAAAAACCAAAGACAATGTTTTATTAGCTCAAAACCCAATTGCAAGGTCCTTACTTATAATATAAAAGGCTAACTGCTACTGCTGGTGCAAATTTTCTTCTTTAAATAATCACCATGTCCCTTGAAATTCAGAGACATTTTTCTAGCTGTTTGATATCAGAGAACCTTCTACTAGATGTAGAGTCTAACTTCTATTATGTATTTGACAACTCTGAGTACATATTTTACATCTATGACTGGACCACTGCTGCTAACAAACTAAAGAAAGATTTGAAATGCTCACGATTCAGAAATGCTTTCTTCTGCTTCCTCCGCAAATCCTTCCTCTTTGTTTGAACCCAGCTCATCATCAACAACACTAGTGATGTCATCATCACTTTCAACTGGATCGAAAAAATCTTTGTATTTCAGATTTCTGGAACTTTTATTTGACTAAAATAAAAAACATTTTTGAAAAGTTTAAAGATGGAAAACTGTATAAAAACACTCATGTGCCTGTGCATATTATACACACATACAAATTGCTTTCTAACTTTAATACTACCCCAGGCAAAATTAGCTATTAGGGAAACTAGCAACTAATTAACTACCTCACAATGGAAGCCTAATAAATTGAAAGGAAGTACACACCTACTCATAACACATAAATAAAAGCATACTATTTCATGTCTCAAAACTTCTAGTTACCATTATTAAAAAAAAACCCATCCTCCAAATAATAATTGTTAAAAGCGTTTCTCAGCCATTTCTTTCTTTTTTATATTTACTCGGGGGATGCATGGGAGGAGTGTTTTTTGAGGCAGGGTCTCATCACTTAGCCTAGGCTAGTTTTGAACACATAATTTCCCTGCCTCTGCCTCCCACTTAAAATGTTTACATCCTGCACCACTGCTTAGCTTTTAAATTTAATGAATTTCTTCAATACTTCGTTTGTGCTCGAATGAATTTTGAGGCACATTAAATCTCTCCCTAGGAAAATATGACATTTAAAAGTTTCTTTCCCTAAAACCTTACCTTAATTTTCTGGCGTCCAAACAGCCCTCCCTCATCTTCATCCGAATCAATGTCTTCAAAAAGGTCAATATCTTCCTCCTCCTCCTCCTCTTCATCCTTAGGTCTTTTTTCCTCTTCTTTTTCTACTTTTTCTAAAAAGTTCTCCATTTCAGAGAGTTTGAAGAATTTGTCGTCCACTACAGACTTTTCTCTTGGTTTTCCAGGTGGTTTGATTTGCATCTTGGTCTGCTGTTCCAATTTGCTAATATCAAAGTCAAGGTCGGAGTCCTCATCACTGAAAATGGGACTTGTCCTTGGGTCAGATCTGCCTGAGCTTTTAGGTCTCTCACCCCCTTTAGGAACATCACTACCCACATCTGACAGCTGTTCCTCCTCCACATCAGTCTCTATGTTCTCCTGGCTGTCAACCTCCAGCTCTGAGGCCTCCTCTTCACACTCCTGATCTTCACTCTCTAGGAGAAGGCTGAGATCTTCATCCTCAATTGTTTCACTAACTGCATTTTGGAAGTATTCTAAGATTGGTTCATTTTGCAATTCTAGTTGTTGCCAAATCTGCTCATCATCAAAACTATTTATCTCAAGTTTTTGTAAAGGACTTCCAGAGATTCGGCCATTCTCTAATATTTTATTAAAATCATAAAGAACTTTTGTTAGAGAAGTGAAGTTTGATGCTAGGCCATTTTGAATCCTATTGGGAAAGAAGATTGAGATGAATTATATACAATAATATCAAGCATTCTGAAATAAAAGAAAAAATAAAAAACACACCTTATTTGCAAAATAAAATGTAAATGAAGCATCAATTTTAAGTAAAGACCCTGGCTCCCAACAATGTGTATCTTGCTGGTGAGCCAGAAGTATCTGACTTTGCTGCATAGGTTGTAGGCTGGACAATCACTACTCATCTACTTGCCTGGAGATACCCACTAAGTCAGCCTCAAATTCTCAAACCTGCAGCTGGGCGGTAGTGGTGCACACCTTTAATCCCAGCACTCAGGAGGGAGAGGTAGGTGGATCTCTCTGAGTTCGAGGCCAGCCTGGTCTACAGGGTGCGTTCTAGGGCAGCCAAAGTTACACAGAGAAATCCTGTGTCCAAAAACAAAACAAAAGGAATTCTCAAACCTGCTACATAATATACACTTTTTATTACTCACCTGACGAGTGATTACCATTTGGCTGTAAGTCTGGGAAAATTTCTCTAAGGATATGACCTCTGAGATAAGATCTACAGATTGAGACCTACGGGTAAGAGACTACCTAGTAAAGATCTGGAAACATGTATTCCGGTTCTAAGAAACATTTAGAATATATTCCCTGGAAAAGATAAGAGTTCAGGCAATGTGAAGAACAACAAGACCCAAACAGCTACAGTGTGATTAAAGAAGCAGAGTATGAACCTGAGATTTCGGATGGGGGGAGGAGGGGCCGGGACCAGGACCTAGACCAGGGTCACTTTAAGTATAACGAGAACACAGAAAGCTGCAAGGGGAAGGCTGAAATGATGACTTACAATTTGGAAAGAGAACTAATAATAATGGTAGATGTGTGAGGAAACTTAAGCAGCTTCCCAAAGGATGTCAGAGGTCTATGTTGGAGTCACAACAGTGAGTATGGCAAATAGGAACCAAAGTCTAAATATACTGTAGACAGGATTCACAGGATGCTAACGAATCAGGCAGAGGAAATACAAGAAATAGAGAAAAATGATGACACCCAGGAAGTAGACAATCTGACTATGGATAAATAAAATGACAGAAGTGTCATTTACTGAGGCAGTAAGGGTAACTTAGGTAGTAGGAATGGGTAAATGACTTCAGGGGAGAGAAGAGTATATGGGGGGGGGTTCTAGTTTGGACACAGTGAATCTGTGATGCTAAAGAGTATGGATTTGCAATAAAAATCTGAGTCATAGTTTTACAGACTTTAATCGAGTGCTAGGAAGAAAGATAGAAGTCTGCCCTAATTTTCAAACTCAGTCGTGAAAGTGCATAATTGACAAGCACCAAGTACGTACTTTCAATAAAGCTTAATGACTGGTAAGCGGTGGGTATCTTGAGGACACACATTGAGAAGTGCAATTAGCACGCAATAAGGCAGCACGCGTCATAAGTCTCTCTGGACGCTAATAATTGAGCTTTATTTCAATAGCATACACCTAGGAGATATGCACTCTCCGGCTTTCACTAATAAACTTTTGACAGGCCAAGAGAATAAAAACTGTCTGAAATTGGGGTTAAGGGACCTGCACTTCCCTTCCTGTCTTTCAGAAGTTGCCGAACGCCTGCCCGCCCGGCACCCGTGCGATGCGGGCCGCTTTTCCAGGCCTGGATCTGAACTTACGTGAGGAAACACTCGGGTCGGCTGGTGGCTTTCTTGATTTCCCTCAGACACCGTTCCAGGGTCTGTCGGCGGGTCACGCGAGGTGCCATAGCTGTGAACTACGACACCACGCGAATGCTGAGAGCCGGCCGGAAGCCGCGCGACAAACATGCACCTTCCGCAACCTGAAGCTCAGAGCCAAAGGTTCCGCCACGCACAGGTTCCGGCCCTGCATCCAGACGGTGCCTATAGCACTGCGAACCTTCCTATTGGGCATGCGTGGAGGCGGGGCAGAAAACCGAAAAGCGCTATTGGTCGTCCCAAGCGCCTTGGCTCTTTCTCCAAATGCCTTGTTCTGTATTTCTAAGAGAACTACAAGTGATGTCGAGTGATTGCTTTCTGTTTCTGCTATCGATCCAATAAGCATTTCAAAGTAACGGAAGAGCAGCTCGCTTCACGCAGCATCCGCAAAGATCCCGGCCCCGCGCCCTGTCACTGCGTCGTTTTTCCCGCCCTCTGTAGACATCAGTCAAACCCCTGGTCTTGTGGCCCCGCCCCTGGCCTCATGCCCCGCCCCTTGCCCATGAATTTTCCCTGCTCTCTTCAGCCATAGGTCAAGACCCAGACAGGATGTCCCAGCCCCCAATAGGGTGTTTCCGCCCCTGGACTCGCGCCCCGCCCCTGGCCGTTTTTCCCCGCCCACATAAGCTTTAAACACGCCCCCAGACCTCAGTCCCCGCCCCCTGCCCGTCTTCCCAGTCCACTCTGCCCTACTAGGTCGCTGTGCAAGCAAGCGCATTGCTTCAGGAGATGAAGCATATAGTGAAGGCCGCCGTGTTGGCTGCGAGCGCTACAGGTGAATACCGGGCATCGTCAGGGGCGCCGGGGCGCAGGTCGCGCTGGACGGGAGGCCGCGGGTGGCCAAGGCTTGGGTCTGAAACACTGGGCTCCCGGGAGCTTCGTTCCCTTAGCGCAGAAGTTCCGTATTGTTCGTCTCCCTGCTATTGGGTTGCCCTTGGCAAACGTGGACCCGACAGGTAACCTTGCCCAGGAGCACAGGCAAGGCTGGGACAGCAGTAAATCAGGAGGGGACTCTGCTGTAAGAGACAGGAGAAACCAACGAAGTGGCGAGTCCTGAAAAGTCTCTCCGAGTCCTAGCATGTTTTACGCACCTGCCCCCTTATATTTTTCATCTGACTTAAAGAGGAAAGGAACATTCAGAAGGATTTGTAAGTTCTTTGAGTTCTTTTGACCTCCATGTCTTTTATTGCATCAGCAGAATCGTAGTGACAGAGGGCCAAGTTTTCTGTCTGTCTCCCCTTCTCTTCTTCCATTTTATTTTCTTCCTTTCTGGTGGCAGTTACTGCCCTCAGTCTGAGATTTTCTGTTTGGAAGAAAATATAAGGCAATGTCGTTCCAGAGTTCCTTCGTTACATTTGTGACAAATCCTTTAACTAGCGTGCTCAAAAGGTATTCAGGGCAATGAACTTTTGTTAATGAACTTTTGTTAATATTATACTTCCTGCCTGGAAAGTTCGGTCTGCTCATCTGCTGAAACCGACACTGCTAGTCATCTTTCAGAGTCGGCGCTCAAACTAAATTTGCTTTTTTTTTTTTTTTTAATCCCTCTAGCCCTTCTGGCCAATCACAAAATTCCTTTTCTTTTCTTTCTTTTTTTTTTTTTTTTTGGTTTTTCGAGACAGGGTTTCTCTGTGTAGTTTTGCGCCTTTTCCTGGAACTCACTTTGTAGCCCAGACTGTCCTCGAACTCACAGAGATCCTCCTGCCTCTGCCTCCCGAGTGCTGGGATTAAAGGCGTGCGCCACCACCGCCTGGCACAAAATTCCTTTTCTGTCCTAACAAGTCCCCAAGGCAAGGCAAAAGAAAAAACAAAAAAGTAATCTTAATAGATAGATATAGCTGCCTTATGATCAGTTTAGTACAGACACACACACACACACACACACACACACACACACACACACACACCCCACAAATATCTGTCTGTCTCTGCCTCCCAAATGCTAGGATTAAAGGCATGTACCACCACTTCCTGATTCGGCAGAGCACAGTAGTTAAAATGATTTTCTGGTTAACAGCTAACGCTGAAGTTTTGCTAATACTTCTTGTTGATATGTTTTCTATATACCTGGTCAAATATAAGTCACCGTCTTAGTTCATCTTAAGTTTTTGTTTTTTGCAAATATTTTCTAAGGCAAAATCAGATATTCTCTCTTAGCAAGGTCTCTCTTAAAAAGTAGGTATTACTTGTCAGACATACACTAATGACATTAAAAATTGAGGATCTGGGCGGAGACAAGTAGCTCAGTCCTAGAATAGGACATTAGGGAATAAGAAAAAAGTCTTGAAAGGAGCAAGTTAAGGGAGGAATCTGGAAGTGTCTAGAGGACTGATTGTGTATTCTGCCAACAGTGGCATAGAGAAAAGGAAAGAAATCTGAAACAACTTTTCATATACCTTATATTACTTTCTTATCACAACTTAAGCTTTTACATCTCAAACTTTCATGACTTAAACCTTTATATTTTTAGATCTTAATACATATTGCCATAACTTTATGACTATCTTAGACCTGCATACCTTGTATCATTCGTTTTCCTTGACCTACATAACTTACTGGTCTAGTTTTCTTTTCTTTTTTTTTTTATAACCTTTAGAAACTTTAAATCTTTATTAGTGTGAGGCCTGCCAGCAAGGCCGACTGTACACATGAAATGGACTGAGTGTTGGTTGTTGTTAAAGCTACAGTTCATCATCGATGTTGTCAGAGATCTGTGAAGGATAAATTTGAGTAGGAAGTATAACTTAAATGATTTCTGCATCAATTGAAATGACAGAGATGTACTGGATACCTGAACAGTCATCCTAGGTTCCTCCATGGTTGTTGGGGACAGAGGTCTCAGGGCAGCATGGTTGTTTGGCTGCCAAGCTCAGGAGATCCGATAGACTTTCCCGACAAAGAAGGGCACCCTACCTTGTCTAAGCAAAGTGGGGTAATCAACTCCCCAGTGTCCTGCTTGTCCACTGTTTGGACAGGGTCTTGGCAGCAGTAAAGGTGAAGGACAGTTTTTCACTCAGTGGTTAAGGTTACCACATTTAAAGCAAGCTACAGGAGGAGTTCTTCTGTGCCCATCCATCTTTCCTAGAGAAGATTAGGGGTTCTGCCAGGAGCTGGCATGTCTCTCTATTATGAAAAGCTTTTTTTTTTTTAATTAAACATTTTGGAATGTCTTATTTAGCAAATCTCTGAAGAGTTTGAGGACCATTATCGATACGTGTACCTGGATTAGACAAACTTTGTAGTTACTAGTTTCAAAGCCTCATATATGAGGCTAAATGAAGTTTATTTCTGTCATTAATCATTACTGTAAGTATAGTTATGAATATATTAAAGCGTATGATTATGAGGTAACTGATAATTAACACGTACGTTTTATGATCAGTGACAGTTTATAATGTAGGCAGTGTCAGCACAGGGAAGGGTTAAGGGGGGGAAGTGGCAGCAGCAAGGACCCTGGTGGAGGGAGGTGTTCTCACAAGGCTGTGAATTGTCCAGTTTACTAGGTTATCAACAGTGAAGAATTTGGCTTTGGGAAGGGAGGGGGAGTGGTGACTGGCTGAGAGAGGGGGCTTTTGGGAGTGAGGGAGGGCCTGTTGGAGCAGCACAGCTGGAACAAGTGGGGGAGGAGGAAGTGGGAAGGGGTGGGGGAGGGTCACAGTTGCCCTGTATGGGCCTAGGGAACCTGTAGTTCTTCCAGCAGGGATCAGAGGGACATCACACAGGCCCAGAGGCCCAGAGGGAGTCCCTGTGCCCAGACTTGGGCCTAAGGGAACTGCAGTTTCTGGAGGGAGAAGAGTGACCTGTTGTTAAGGAGTGTTGGAGAGGCTGATGCTCCATGCCGTACTGATGTGCTCAGGTGGGCTGGAAGGAAGGGGGAGACTCCAGCACCTTATGGCCAGAGGGGACTGTAACAGCTGCTGAAGTTGGGCCTGAGGACTGTGACCTATGAAGCTGTGGGCTTAGCCCGGGTTCTGTAGCACCAGGGGCTGGACATGGAGTGGAGGAAGTGGGGGAGGGGCAGTGGGGAGGGTGCCAGACAAGGGGGATTGTTGGGAAAGCAAGTTAGGAGGAGAAGGAGGAAGAGGATAAGGGGGTGGAGACTGGCAGCAGCTAGTGGGCGCAGAGTGCCTAGCAGTCAGTATTCTTGCGGTGCACAGAGGGTTAAATAGGACCCAAAATGGTGCAAAGGTTTACAAAGTTCGGAAGAGTTCGGAAAAGTTCATCAAGTGTAGGTGTCATACAGAGGGCTTGGAACAGACAGGAGAGAAGTGGAGAGGTAAAGGATCTCTTTCCATTTTCCTGTGCACTCACAGAAGGTGTAAAGATCCTGAATAATGTTAGGATCCAGAGCTGTTAGGTGGCCAATTAGACTGATTATCTAATGGGTATAGGGCCAAGCCTGGGTACTATAGTGAATTAGTTTAGGAGATTTGATGTCTGAAAGTTTTAACCCTTTGAAATTCTGAAGGAGACATCCCAAAGGCAAGTCAGTAAGAATGGATGATGCAGAACCCAATACCAGTGGTGGATGATCAGTGGGCCAAAGGTTGAGAGTCAAGGCATCCCCTGTTTATTGAGAGGCCCTGAACAGATTCTCTGGGAGGGAGGGGGTTATCACCCAAGCTCCATCACCAAGAGAGTGACCCCAGTGGGTCTGTGAATCCGGGACCTATCGACAGGATTTCACAGACAGTACAGAGCAGACATCAGATTCCCGCAGTGCAGCCACCAAACGTAAAGGGGGAAGCCCCTACCCAAACCAGACTGGACTGAATGTGTGCCAGTCTGGGAGTCCACCTTAACTAGTGAATCACAGTTGTGGTTGGTGCAGTCTCCCCAATCCCATAGGACAGAGGAGGGACACCTGACACTGGACAGCTGTCAATAGATAACCTGGGGACTGTTTAGGGCAGCAGGGTCTGGGGACTTACCAATCAGCCACTGTTGGGTGAGAGAATTGGGCACCAGGAGGATTGGAACTCGTGAAAAAGGGAGTTTGCTGGCCAGTCCCAATTTCGGCACCAATGAAGGGCACTCCACGCATCAGGGGCTCCCTTCCAGACCTCCAGATTAGGCACAAACCACACCCAAACACCTGCTTTCACAGACATCCTTTATTAAGTGGGGAAGAGAAGTTAAAGTGGCTGCTTTCTGACTCAGGCAGAAAAACAGCAACAAATGACCTGGCAGGTGTCAGTCTTAAGAAGAGAAAGGGGAGGTCTGTGTTAGAATGCGTTAGGATGATAGGGGACAAGGGAGAAGGGGAAGGGGACAAAGGAAAGGGGCAGGGATATTTGTCCTGGAGGGACAACAGACTGCCTCTGGATAGAGAGGAGACAGATGTGACACATAGGCAAATGGCGGTTTATAAAGGTAAAGGGGGCAACCCTGTGTTAGGATGAGGTGTTTAACTTGAATTGTGCATGTTAGTTAGGTGAGCCAAAAGGGCCTTCTGATTGCTGGACTTCGCTTGTCAGCCTCAGGGGGAAGAAGTGGCCAAATACGGGATTAGACCTTGGTGGGTAGCTTTAGGAAGGTAGCCTAACGTTTTTCAGCAAGGCAGAGAGAATGGGATGAAGGGCCAGGCCTGCCAGAGCCACATGCTCAAGAGGGCTAGCATCCCTTCAACCTGAAACTCTATCTGAAAAATAAAATAATAATTAATTTTTTTAGTGTAAAGCAAAGGGTTGCAAAGACTCGGGGTGTAGTCCCATGTGCAGTACTTGTCTAGCATATGCAAGAGCGCAGGTTTGATCCCCAGCAAGAAAGACAAAGGAAAGGAAAGGAGCTGGAGAGGAGTGAGTTAAGCACAGTAGTTTCCCAGTATCACCTCTGATATCGGACAAACCTGGGCTCAAGGCTCTACCTTGCCACTTAAAGTCATGTTGAGGAAAAGCACCTAGTCTCTATAGGCCTGATTCCATATTTCTGAAAATGGAGGCCATAATATCCAACCTATAGGGTCATGGTAAAGATTAAATCTCACAAGGTATTCAGTGTACCTTTATCATTATTTTTATTTTATGGCCATGTAGACAAAAGGCAAAGTCATGTGACCGTACTGTGGCCTCCCACTTCAGCATTTGGGCTTCCACAATGGAGTTTGGAAGGACTGCAGATCTGGCAAAATTTCATAATAGCATCGATTGATAAATACAACAATGAAGTAAAACCGTGGGTCTGTACTTGGAAAAGGATAGAATCTAATTTACCCATCCAGTTCTGTTCTCTACTAAAGATGAATCCTAGCAGTTGGCAAAACATGGAGAGTTCCTAGAAACTGAGGCATATAGAATTGCCTCAGTTGTTTGTAGGTTGCTCAAAGGGAGATTTATTGTTTAGTTTTCATTTCTGTGGTATATGAAAAGTCCTCACGAGATAAAATGGTCATAAACCGCCGGGCGGTGGTGGCGCACGCCTTTAATCCCAGCACTCGGGAGGCAGAGGCAGGCGGATCTCTGTGAGTTCGAGGCCAGCCTGGGCTACAGCGCGAGATCCAGGAAAGGCGCAAAGCTACACAGAGAAACCCTGTCTCGAAAAACCAAAAAAAAAAAAAAAAAAAAAAAAAAGGTCATAAACCATAAACATGAGTCAGAGCAGTTTTGTTTTGTTGTGTGGCCAGAGATCAAACCCAGAGCTTTGTGCATGCTAGACAAGTGCTCTGTCACTGAGCTAGACACCCCTGTCAGAGTTGGAGGGTTATAAGCAACAGATTTTAACTCAGAAAGACTGTAATGTATATTCCTTTACCCAAAAGCATAGTCGTGTGTGTCTAATAGTCTCTAGCAGCCAAACTCCATCAAGATGTCAGGAGTCAGAAAATACTTGAATACTTTCAACCATTTAAGAAACCATACCCCTCGTGGTAGATTTTCCAGAGTGAAAAATGAGTTACGGGCTGGAGGAACATGCCTGTAACCTTTGTATATAGGAGGTAGAGGCAAGAGGATGTGTGGCCTACCACTGAAGTGTGGCCAAACTACCGAGGGAGATACCCTCAAAGAAAACGGACTCTCCCTCTCTTACCAGCTATCAGTTGCCAATAGCTCCTCAGCTAGAGGTGGGCCTTCACGCCCGCCTCTCCTTCCATGTTGGGATTCTGTCTGGATTAAGTTTTTGAAGGTCTTTTGCATGCTGTCAGAGCTGCTCTGGATTCATGTGTGAGGCTGCACTGCTGTGTTCCTTGTAGTCATCCACTGCTTCTGGGGCTTACACTCTTCTGCCCCCTCTCCCACAGTAATCCTTGCATTTAGGAGGAGGAGATGTGATATATATGTTCCATTTAGGACTGAGTGAGCTCTTATTTTCTGTACTGTGACCAGTTTCAAGTCCCTGTGTTAATCACCAGATACTTAAATAGAAGCTTCTCCGATGAGGGTTGAGAGAGGCACTAATCTATGGGTATACCGATAAGTCATTAACAGTCAGTTTAATACTATGCCCATTTAGCGGAGTGAGAGTAGAAGGTTCTCCCCTAGGGGATGTGACCTGTCTAACCACAGTTTCCATTTCACTGACAGTGGTGTCAGGTATGGTCTCAACTTGTAAAGCGGGCCTTCAAACCCAATCAGAAAGTCGTTGGTTATTCTCATGACATTTGTGCTATTGCACCAGTGGGCGTGGCTTGGCAGGCTGGCAATTGTAGCTGTCATGGTTCACAGTTAGGTCAGACTGATGGTTACTTTACTCCTCCAGTAGTGTGCATAGCCCCTACAGCATCTGAAAGATAGCCAACTGTGATGAAGCTTCCAGTGAGTACCAGCTTGTTTCTCCACAGTCTGTCACTGAGCTACGTGGTGTCATCAGCAACAGGCGTTCTGGAGGGTAACCAAGAGCATTGGCAGTAGCTTGCAGTTTGGAGAATCTATGCTATCCGTTAGACCAATTACTTCCGAAGAGGTAACCCATTCTTTGCAGTAGGCACTGGGCCTTGTATTTGTTACCCTGTGTATCAAATGGAGGCATTGTTGCCCCATTATAGGGTAACTCCATTTAAATGGGGTGTGAGTGTGTGATAGTATATAGCATTGGGGCAGGACTGGTTAATAGGTTGCTGAAAGACAGATTTATTGTTTCGTTTCCATTTCTATATTATATGAAAAGAAATTCCCCAAGTGAAGAAATAGTCATGAGCAGTATACATGAATCAGAGGGGTTTTGTTCTGTTGTGATGCGGGAAATCAAACCCAGATCTTTGTATGTGGTAGGCAATGTTTTTTCATTGAGCTATACACCCCCATCAGAGTTGAAAGAGTGTGTGTGTGTGTGTGTGTGTGTGTGTGTGTGTGTGTGTGTGAGAGAGAGAGAGAGAGAGAGAGACTTCTACAGGAGTAGGTCTCCATATGACCTGTAGTGTTAATTATCCCTCCCCATATCCCCTCCCGTTCCTGTTCCATTACTCCCTTTTAACTCTTTATATTACCATGTTTCTTGCACTCCTGTTTTTAACCCTCTTGTTTATAAGTGCCTTACAGGTTTATTCATAGATAATGGTGCATTGTAGTTTATTCAAGCAAAGTAATCCTTCCTTATTGGAAGAATGACAAATTAAACATTCTGGAGGTCAGAGGACTGAAACTCTGTTGTACCTTCTGACCTGAAGGAGAGAAACCTCAAACTAGAGTTGTGATTTCCCGAGACTCTGAATAAAAATATCTGCACACAGTAGCTTGAGGCCGGGGAGCTCGCCCAGTCGTAAAGCGCCTGCAAGCACGAGGTGCTGAGTGCTGACCCCCAGCACACATATAAAACAGTTAGGCCTGATTGGGCATATCAGTCCTAGGTGTGGCTCTGGGGAGCACAGGCAGCTCACCAAAGTTCACTGACCATCCAGGCCAGCCAATCACTGAGCAAGACCTGACTCAAAAACAAGGTATACATATATCAAAACATCACATTGTAAATTTCCAGCATTTATACTTTTATTTATAATTATAACTAAGTTATCATATTTATAAATTATAAATCATATCTTATGATTTATACTTGTCAGTCATACCTCAATAAAACTTAAGGGGGGGATCACATTATTTTAAACCCTTTATTCCCAGTTGCTTGGTCTACAATATTTTGTCCACAGACTCTTACTGCATGTGGTAGTTTGAATAATTTCATAGGGAGTGGCACTGTTAGGAGGTGTGGCTTTGTTGGAGTGGGTGTAGCCTCATTGGAGGAAGTGTGTCACTGTGGGAACGGGCTTTGAGGTTTCCTATGCTCAGGATACCGCCCAGTGTCTCAGTCCATTTCCTGTTGCCTGCAGGATGTAAGATTCTCAGCTCTACAGCTGTAGCACTTTGTCTTCCTACATGCCGCCGTGCTCCTGCCATGATGATAAAGGACTGAACCTCTGTAACTGTAAGCAAGTCAGTAAGCAGCTCCCCTCCATGGCCTCTGCATCAGCCCCTGCCTCCAGGATCCTGCCCTGTTTGAGTTCCTGTCCTGACTTCCTTCAGTGATGAGCAGCAATGCTGAAGTGTAAGCCTAGTAAACTCTTTCCTCCCCAACTTGCTTTTTGGTCATGGTGTTTCATCGCAGCAATAGAAACCCTGACTAAGATGTTGCAGAACCATACCTTTCCCTCCTTTATAAAGTTCACCTATTAAAAATGTACAGTATTTGTTACATTCACCATGTTGTACACTTGTCACCTTTATCATGTTGCAAAATGTTTTCATAACCCAAAAGGAAACTCACATGTATTAAGCAGTCACTCTCTGTTTCTATTGCTTGAAGATACCATGGCCAAGGCAATTTATCGAAGGAAGTGTTTATTGGGGGCTTATAGTTTCAGAAGGTGAGTCCATGCCCATCGTTGGGGAAGCATGGCCTCAGGCAGGCAGACATGTCACTGGAGCAGTAGCTGAGAACTTATACCTTGATCAGTAAGTGGGGTGCAGAGAAAGAGACACTGGGAATGGCATGGACTTCTGAAACCTCAAAGCCTACCCCTAACTCCAACAAGACCCCATCTCCTAATTCTTCCCACAAAGTTCCACCAAGTGAGAAGCAAGCATTCAAATATACTAGCCTATGGGGGCCATTTTCATTCAAACCACCACAATCCCCATTCTCGCTTCCCCCCAGCTTTTAGTAATCACAATTCTGCTTGTCTCTCTGCTGTTCTGATATGTGATGTAAATGGGATCATACTGTGTATGACTTTTATGTTCTGTTCTTATCATTTAGCATGATGTGTGTAGAGGTTCTTCCATGTTATAGTGTCAGTAACGTTGGATGGTAGCCCATTGTTTTCCTGTGGGAATATTGCTGCTAGGAATACCAGGCTATGCGTTTTTGTTTGAGTTTTGATTTTCAGGATTTTGTTTTGTTTTTTAGTACTTAGGAATAGATATTGGGTCCTCTGATAATTCAGTGTTTAAATTTTGTTTTGGGGAATTGCTGAACCATTGCATGACAGCCATACCATTTTACCTTTTGGTCAACAATGTACACGTTTTTTGATTTCCTCTTTTTTCTTCTTGCTTTCTTGTTGGGTGTGAAGCAGTGCATCTCACCATGAAACCCACTAGCCTTCCCTGACAGTCACTGATGCTACTGAGTGTCTGATGTGCCTGTTGACTATATATTTGTATCCTATCCCTTTAATTTGTCTATGTATCTATCTCTATCTATCTATTCGAGACAAGGTCTGACTATATATTTCTGGCTATCTTGGAACTGCTATGTAGTCCTAGCTAGCTGTGAACTCACAGAGATCTGCCTGCCTCTGCCTCCTGAGTGCTGGGATTAAAGGTGTGCTCCACTATGCCAGCCCGGTCCCTTCATTTTGAAGTAAACTCTATCACTGAGTTTTCGCTGGTATCATAATAACCTTCTACACCATCCCTAAAATATGCATTTCAGAGACCAAAGAAAGCCAATAAAAAGAGATACCTCAAACCAGTTACCTTATCCCTAGAGAAACCAGTTACCACTTACTTCTAGAGGTAAGATGGTGTCAAAAGCTTATTAACTACAACATACTGTTGTCCTTTATATGTAAGACATACACAAGAAAGGTTGTTTTCTATTAAATCAAAAGAACCAGCTGTTCCAGTGACCCCAATGATAAGAAGCTACAGAGAAAGCCCCAATAACTGCCCCTCAGGCTTCCTTGGATGTGCCAGAGTCCGCAATGTCCTTAGAGCAGACTGCGTAGGACATTAAAGTTGGCTTTCACTTGAACACCCTGTCATTTGCTCCTTTGGCATTTCTGTGTGTTCCTCCTAGTGGGAGGCCATCAGAGGTGGGACCTGGACTCAGTATTTGACATCTCCCTACAACGTCTTACTGCACCAACTATCTGGAAGCTCACTGACCTTGTCCGTCTGTGTTGTTTTGAAAACACAAATACTTTTTCATTGAGCCCATTGCAAACTAGCACCGTCAGGAGAAATGCACGGGGGCCGGGGGGGGGGGGGGGTGCGGGGGAGCGGTTTGACTAAAGATGTTGGCATCTGTGCGTTGTCTTCCACTGGTGAGTCCTGGAAAGCTGACTGGGGTGACTCGGGAGTAAAGAAAGGACAGACACACACACACACACACACACACACACACACACACACAACACACACACACACACACACACACACACACACACACACACACACAGAGGAAAGCTAGGATGGAGTGGGCTGGGCTCACTCTGATGGAGGGCATCAGCACAGCCGGGAAACCTAGCGTGTGTTTATGCACACACAAAAGGGGTGGGTTAGCTATTCTAGATGGGAGGTCTCTGTAAGGGAGCCGTCTCGGGCTGCAGTCATCTGGGAGGAGGGAGCTGCTGTTGCTAGGTTTTTATACATTTGTCAGTTGTTCCTAAATACACTTCTACTTGGACTAGAGGAAGGCTTTGCCATTTCCATGGGTTGAGCATTGGGGTCCTTGACATGACTGCGCCCATGTCAACAATACACATTCACTCAGGACTTCATCCACTCCCCACACATTTGTGAAATGGTATTACTGTGCCCTCTTGAAATAGGCTTATGGATAATGTTTGTGCAATTCATTGATAGCCATCATTATATGTCCTTAGCTGACACAAACTATAATAAAGTATCCCAACTGGTAAGGTGTTGAAGGGGAGGACTAGGGATGGTCCTCCCTACCCAGAAGGACAGGTATCTGGTACCAGGAGGTCCTGCACAAAGCTGATGACTTATGCCAAGGAAGTTTATCAGGAAGTACAGCATCTTATACTATACTATTTATAAATATACTATTTATACTATTAAAACATACTATTCATAGGGGTGGAATGGGCCATGGGTCAGCAGGAAGCTGAATCAAACAATATTGACAAAGAGAACACAGGATACCTCAGACACAGCTGCCTTAGGGCTGATATCCACAACCCTTCAGGGAAGAAATCAGGTTCCCATAACTGAAACCTTAACTCCTTTGAAACTTTGGCCCAGTCCCAGCCCAGACCTTGCCAAGTCTGTCCCTAGGCAAGGACATAGAACTGAACTTCCCTTTTGTCCTTTTAACAAGGCCTCTGTGAAAGCCTTGAGTTGGTCTGGCTCGCGACACTTGCAGCGAGAGTGGGTGAACTCACCGTGTGCCTGCTCTAAGTGTCTGGCACTGCATTGTGGTTTTGGAACCACCTGTCTGCTCTTGACACTGGACCAGAAAATTGAATATTTAGTGGATGATCCTAGAACATTTTGAAAACAGAGACAGAATAGAAAACTTCAGAGAATCTCACATTGTAAAGATTGATTCTCTTTGTTGAGATTAGGTTTCAATTGTGCATTTCTATTTGTGTATCTTGAGTATTAATACACTTAGATTTCATGATAATACATAGAGTACATAACATTGGACTACATTAACTACAGGTGATGAGCACTTTTGGGTTTTTCACTAATTTGTCATGGACCACGACGTAGTAGAAAACCTTCTTAAACTGCCTTAGTCAGGGTTTCTATTGCTGCAACAAAACATCATGACCATAAAGCAAGTTGGGGAGGAAAGAGTTTATTTGGCTTATACTTCTACATTGCTGTTCATCATTGAAGGAAGCCAGGACTGGAACTCAAACAGGGCAGGATCCTGGAGGCAGGAGCTGATGCAGAGGCCATGGAGGAGAGCTGCTTACTGGTTTGCTCTCTATGGCTTGCTGAGTCTGCTTTCTTATAGAATCCAGGAGCCCAGGGATGGCACCACCCACCATGGCCTGGACCCTCCCCCATTGATCACTAATTGGGAAAATGCCTCACAGCTGGGTCACATGGAGGCTTTTCCTCAACCAAGGCTTCTTCCTCTCTGATGACTCTAGCGTGTGTCAAGTTGACACACAAAACCAGCCAGTACACTCGCTTACATGTTATATTTTTTACAATTAAGTATTTACATCATATGTATATAGTTTTCTTTCTGTGGAGTCTGTCTTTTAAAGCCCAGAAGTAGGGAGGAGAGTAACAGATAGGGGACCCTCCCCCCAAAACACACATATCATCTCCTTCAGTTCATAAATGTCTTAGTGAAGTTTCTATTGCTGTGATAAATACTACAACAAAAAGCAACTTAAGGAAAAAATGGTTTATTTTATGTTATCCTTCAGGTAACAGTCCATCACTGAGGAAAGTAAAGGCAGGACCTCACAGCAGGAACTGAGGCAGAAGCCATGGAGGAGTGCTGCTTACTGGCTTGCTTAGCCTGCTTTCTTACAGTACCCAGAGTACCAGCTCAGGAATGGCAAAATCCACAATAGGCTAGGCTCCCCCACATTAATCACCAATTAAGGAAATGTACAGGTTTCCCCAAAGGCCCATCTGGTGGAGGCATTTTCTCAATTAAGGTTTACTCTTCTCAAATGACTCTACCTTGTGTCAGGTTTTCATAAAAACTATCCAGCACATTGAGTGAGGGTTTCTTCACAGCCCGAAGTAGTTCTGCTTCTGCTCTGCCAAAATTAAATAAAGGAATAGTGTAAAACTCTGGCTCAGAAGAAATCCCAACATGTTGTATACACCTCATTCTTGCTTTCCACCAAGAGGTTAGATGCTTTCCTTAGTTGATAGTAAACAAAATATACACCCAAAGTACTGCATAGCACCTTTGATGAATTCATCCCATGGTGTAAAACAAAAAGTAGGTACAGATTGGGAAAAAAAAATTGCCTGTTCTTATCATTGAGTGTGTGCTGCTCACTATCACATTCAACTTACATAAAATGCAAACATCACTGAGTACTCCTAATGTGCAAAATTTTACCCCTAAGTGTTACAGTAAATATAAATTACTATGAGAAGTGCTTTTCTTTGTTCAGAGTGAAAGTGAAGCTCAGAATTGGAATTTTAAAGTATTTTTATTATTTTTAATTGTGTGTAAGTGTTTGGGTCTGGGTGTGGGTTTGTGTACTTGAGTGCAAGTGCCCTTGGAAGCCAGAGGCATAAACTCCTCTTGCAGCTGGAGTTACAGGCAAAAGGGAACTGAACTCGGGTCTTCTACAAGAGCAGAAAGTGCTCTTAACCTCTAAATTATCTCTCTAGCCCCAAGAATGAGATTCTAATTCTAACCAAATAGCTTTCCCTCCTGCAGTTTGAACCTAGAGCCTCGTGCTTAGTAGTTAAATGCTCTGCCGATTAGCTGTGTCCTCGGCATGCTGGCCTTGAACGCACTCTGCAGCTTAGGCAGGCCTTGAACTTCCACTCTTCCTGGCTCTGCCTCCAGAGCTGCCAGGATTATAGGTCTGTGCCACCAGGCTTGGGTGACACACATCTCTTTAATTCTTGGCAGAGCAGAGTGAGTAGTTTTCACATAAGTCTTTCTAATTTAATATCAAATAATTAAAATACATAGATATGTAAACAATGCATTTTATAGTTCTTTGTTCAGTTTTTAAAATTAAATTTAGAAGTACATGAATTCTCAAAAGAGAGGTATAAATGGCCATTTGATTTTTTTCTTTCAGGGCTTTTCTCCAGAGTCCAAATTCCAGTTGCCGGAGGGAGAAGTTTTTCCAAATCACAGTCCCTGGATCAAATGTCAGGTCCTGTGTGGAACCTGGGTCGGCTCAATCACGTGGCCATAGCAGTGCCAGATTTGGGAAAGGCCTCATCATTTTATAGGGATGTTCTGGGGGCCCAGGTAAGTGAGGCGGTCCCTCTTCCAGAACATGGAGTATCTGTTGTTTTTGTCGACCTGGGCAACACCAAACTGGAACTTCTTCACCCACTGGGGAGCGACAGTCCAATCTCAGGCTTTCTGCAGAAGAAGAAGGCTGGAGGAATGCATCACCTCTGCATCGAGGTATTTTATCATCTAAATGTGTGCTGTTTGAAATCTCTCTCACACAAATGCTTTGTACTGTTTAAGCCTACATATAACCAGAATCTTTTTTTTTTTAAAGATTTATTTACTTATTATGTATACAGTGTTCTGCCTGCATGTATGCCTGCAGGCCAGAACGGGGCATCAGATCTCATTATAGAAGGTTGTGAACCACAATATGGTTGCTGGGAATTGAACTCAGGACCTCTAGAAGAGCAGCCAGTGCTCTTGACCTCTGAGCCATCTCTCCAGAATCTTTTATTATGTTTTAAAATGAATGGTACTATTACTCTTCTTACTATTATTTTTCTTTAAAGGTGAATGTGTATGTCTGTGTGTATTCATGCAAGTATGTATATGCATATGTATGTGCATGCGTTCACTCTCCTTTCAGGAAACTATAACAATAATATTAATGTATTTTGGGGACAACTAGATCCAATAGACTTAAAATAGGCCACCAAAGTAGATGTTTTGATTAAATGTGGCCTCCCTTGTAATAGGAATGTAAGTGCTTTTCACTATCACTACAAGGCAATTAGACACATGAAGAAAGTTTAAAAAATAAGAATTACATCAACATGCCGAGGCTTTAGTTGCAGTGCCAGGGATTGAACTGAGGGCCTCGTGCAAGCTAACCATGTGCCAGACACTGGGCTACATCCCAGCCAAAGTAGTCTCATAATTCTGATCTATCCTTAAAACATTGAATAACTTGCCGGGCAGTGGTGGCACATGCTTTTAATCCCAGCACTTGGGAGGCAGAGGCAGGTGGACCTCTGTGAGTTTGAGGCTAGCCTGGTCTACAGAGTAAGTTCCAGGATAATCATGACTACACACAGAGAAACCCTGCCTCGAAAAACAAAAACAGCAAACAAACAAAAAAACAACTTGTTCCTTATTACGAAACCAATTTATTTTCAATTACTGAAGTTTAAAAAAAAAATTACCACCACCACCACCACCACCCCATACTATACCACGCACTCGGAGATCAGAGGGCAACTTTCAAGAGCCAGTTTTCTGCTTCCTCTGTGTATTCAGGGGATCCAACTCAGGCCATCAGGATTGGTGGCGAGCACATTTACTCATGGGGCCATCTCTCGGGGCCCTGGTTTTTTAATGTCTTCTAAACTGCATTTTGCTAGCAGTATCTAAGAAAACATGAAGAAATGTTTGACAAGAGCGTTCTTATTAGAGGATTTTTATCTGCAGATGGTCATGTTTGGCTAACTGACTTTGAGGCTACCAGCAACGCCAGTTAGGCTTCAGCTTAAAGAACTTGATAGGAAAATTCATCAGCAAGACATAATGACAGAATTAATGGCAACGCCTCAGTCCTAATCCAGAAGAGAGCGAGGTTGACCAGAATGAAGTCAAGGATATATTCAAACATGAGAACCTACTTTCTGCTAAGTACCTGGAATTCAGCAAAATACATGGACCATGTCTCCAGTGAGGTGGGGATATTTAAACAGTCAAGTGGACTCTACTGTGATAATGGAATTAAGATGTGTGTCTGTTCGGTAATACAATGAGGTAGAGGTTGATTGCTTGGGTCAAGGAGCTGCAAGGTATCACGGGGCATTGGCTATAATGACTGTGAAGGATTCCACCAGAGAATAGGAGGAGAGGGCTGCTATGGCAGAGGGAGTAGCATGGGGAAAGGCCATCATAACAGCTGACAAGCACATGCATACCCTTTGGCATGTATGAAATACTTGAGGAAGATTCTTTTCTGTAGTTCTCATAGCTACTCCATTAGGATGCTACTAACCCATATGACAGGAGGAACAACACAAAAAACAAAAAAACAAGACTTGATTAATTTGCCCACAGTAACATTACATGTACATGGCAAGGCTCAGGTTCTGTTTCCAGGGTATGCACTCTTAGCCTCGAGGCCAGTTGCCTTCGTTGTATGATCAGAACTTAAAATGTGAGGTTGGGGAAGCTATCCAACATCAGGCCAGGGGACTACACACAGCCTGTGTTTATCCTTTCTTTCATCCTTGGAGGTTGCTTTGGCTGCAGGTTTTATCGGTGGACAGAGGGTTTGTGTAAGCCCCCAGGATGAAAAGCTGGACCATCTGCCTTTGAGTCTACTCTTCTTTCTCCTCCACTGTGTGGTCTAGGTTCCACATCAAGAGAGCTCATGCCGTCAAAGGAGGCCAGCTGTGAGTCAGAAGTTCAGTTAAGTAAAAAAGACTGCGAGTCCAGGAAAGTAACAGCAAATTCCAAAGTAGAGATCAGAAGAGGGAAATAGAAATGTTATGAGCCCAAAATGAGGTGGGTGACATGGGACAGTGTAGGAAGTGCTCCGTCTACTCCAGTCTGATACGCCTCTGTTGTCGTGAAGTCGCCGCATACCAAAGTGGCTTAATTACACGGATTTCACTTTCCTGTCCTAAACTGTCACACATGGTTTACGGGACTGCCTCAGGCACTGCTGTTTAACAACTGACGAGAAGGGAATCAGAGAGAGAATAAGGGCGAGTGCCTGTGAGGTGACTTGGGCATTTTATCTGTCACTTTTACTCACATCCCGCGGACCTGAACTTAGTCAGCTGGTACACGTGGCTGTAAAAGGGACTGGGGAATGTAGTCTATGTCTAGGCAACCATGTGTCCTGATAGAATAAAGGGAGGTTTTTATCCTTAAAAGGAAGAAAGTGAGAGCATCCGTCTGGGTCAGTCTTGTCTATCAATCTCTGCAACACTCGACAGTTTTTATTGATTTATCTTTTAGGATTGATTTTATGCATTTGGGTGTTTTGCCTGCATGTATGTCTGTGCATGCGGCCAGTGCTGTGGAGGCCAGCAAGGGGCGTAAGATCCCCTGGAACAGATAGCTGTGAACCACCATGTGAGTACTAAATTCCAGGCCTCTGGAAGAGCAGCAAGTACTCTTAACCACTGAGCTATCTCTCGAGCCCCAACTTTTAAAATTTTAAAAACCAGTATTGCCAAGATAGCCTTACCTTTTTTCTGGATGGAGAGATACTATAAGATGGAGACAATGGACAATTTTTAGTTCTCTCAGAGCTGTGGCATTCTCAGATAGTGGTGTCACAAGATGAAGTGGGCTTAGTTCCTCAGAGCAGGTGGAGCAAAATGTCTTGCCTTTCCTTGAACAGAAAACGTATTTGTGAGTGTGAATATTGAGATTTCAACCTCAGTGTATTACAGGACTATAGCTGTAATAATCTATTCTGGCTGAAGGACTTGGGTCTTGAACTGTCTTCTAAAGTATAGAATGTCATGATAAAGCCAATCAGAAGCCCTCTCTGGGGTCATCGTTCCGGTTCCTGTGGCCGTGTAGTAGAGTGGTGTCAATGTTTGCTCAGGAGGATGAGTCAGGGAGCTGGATCGCTGCTGCCCAGTTTCTACTCAAGGTTTCTCATGTGACACATGGCAGTACTGACCCCAGTGCCTTCCCAGACGCCCACCTCGTGTGACTGATACTGAGTGCACTCTTACAGCTTGGAGCTCAACAGGACTTTTAATAGGAGGTTCTACAGGAGTCCTCTTGGACTCGGCAAGCTAAGTGTTGTTCCGAGGGTAGCTGGATTTCTTTCTTTCTGAGTTTATATGTGTGTGTATCCCCACAAAACTAGGGAGGACTGTGTGGTCTCTTCTGATGATGCCTTCTGCCATTGCCTATTGGTAATAGGCAGGTTGGAAACAGGCCTTTTTGGAGAGCAAGTCCCTAGATCCTGCCTTTTTTTTTTTTTAAATGTGTGTGAGTGTTTTGCCTGCATGTATATATGTAACTGTTATCTAAGAGGATAGAAGAGGGCATAGAGGGCCCTGGATCCCCTGGAACTTGAGTTACAGGTGATTGTGAGCTTCCATGTGGGTGTCAGGAACTAACCTTCTGAAAGAGTTGGCGGTGCTCGTAACTGCTTAGTCTCCTTCTGACTCCTAGATCCTGACTTGTAATGGAAAGAGCCATGCTTTCCATGTGCTATAATCATGGGTGTTCTGAGAAAACGGCTAATGTGAAATTTTTTAAGCTGTAAAATGATTTGAATTCCAAATTACCAGTAATGTGGGGGTTGGGACCAGCAGCATTCACATACGCCAGAAGCAGCAACATGTCTAGCCTTTGTGAACATGAGACTCAAGATTGTTGAAAAACTTGACGAGGTAGAAGGTTCATAAGCACCAAATCATAAACATGGGTTTCCTCAGCTTTCTCCAGCAGTTTGGTCATATACATTATTAAGATATGTCTATCTTTTTGTTGCATGACTTTTCTGGGGAGACATGAAAGATGTCTGTCTGAACTCAAGGGCCCCAACAGCCCAAAGAATAACTCATCCAACTCCACCTTGATGAGTAGAATGGGTTTAATTGGGGTTTACTTACCATGTGGTGGATGACTAATTGCAAAATTGCCAGCACCCTGCATACCAGTCCCTTATGTTCTGCGACTCCTATTCTACAGCAGAATTGATGCCATAGACTTAGGGTACCACCTAGTATTAAGGCAGCAGAAGTGACCACAGCTTAGATAACAGGGCCCAAGCAGACTCAGCCCAGCAATGTGTGTTTATGTGCACTCTGTCCTTGCTCTTACTGGGGATTCTGTTGGCCTCAGAAAACATTGTCCAGTGGAAGGGTGGCTTTGTTTTTCTGCACTCTGGAGGATAGGCAGCTTAATGCGTCTGGCTGCATTAAGTCACTCTGGGGAAGGGGGGAGATTGAAGAACTACACATCTGTAAGTGTTCATACTTCTTTTCTAGCTTGTATGTCTTTTGCCATTTCTTTCATAGAGTTGTTCCTTTTTGGCCATCATAAGGCCACCCATTGGAGAGATGGCTTTCTTCTGCCTAGTATCCTGTGTTCTTTCTCACTGAGACCTCATTCGAAACCTCTGATTGTGTGGTATCTGCTGTGGACACACTTTGTGACTTTAGAAGTGTGAGAAAACAGCATCTGTTGATTGTAAACTGCCCAGTTTCTTGTCCTGTGTG